AGATTTCTTTAGAACAATAATGGGCTCAAATAAGTCGATCCATGCTGGCCCATTTCCTAAACCGATTTGTTCAATTCTGGTAAATGCATAGGACGTCTTTAACTACTATGGGGATCAAATATCGTTGAAATTCTTCATATCTTTTCACAATGTTATATCCCTAATTCAAGAGCCTCACCATCAATATTAAAGTAGCTTAGGAAATAAATCATGAGCATTCGTAGTCTGCTTTAGGCGCGATTAATAAATTATCGTGACTATGAGTACGGTTCCTGTGGCATGGTTATGATGCGTAAAGCCCAATTCGGATGCACATTTCATGTGACCCGACCACAACTTCAAACAATAATAAAATTCACATGTTGTAGATCGTGGGTACGGTTCCCGTGACACGATTCGCAACGTATACAAAAACAAACAAGTGTACAACAATCGTGACTTGTTCCAGAAATAACTCCATAAATAATTAAAAGCGGTATAAAATCAAAAATGCACAATAGGTATTAAAACATGTAATGAATCAGATAATTAGGCCAATTATTAACAGTTGAGCGACCGTGCTAAAACCGTGGAATTCGGGAGTGCCTCACACCTTTTTCCGAGTTAAGAGAATTCCTCACCCGGATTTCTGTGTTTCGCGGACTGTAAAACAGAGTCAAATTTTCCTCGATTTGGGATTTAAAATAAACCTGTGACTTGGGACACCATAAATTATTCCAAGTGGTGATTCTGAAATAAATAAATAATCCCATTTTGATTAATGTCACTTAAATTGGAAAAACTCCCTACCCCCTGTGGGAAAAAGGAGGTGTGACAGCTATGGCAACTCTGCTGGGGAGCACGAACCCAGAATCTCTGGTTCAGGGTTCAGAATTCGAGCTTAGAATAACTGTTATTGTTGGCTTTTGTTTATTATCTGATTTTCACATGTTTGAGCTTAATGTGCTAAATGTCGTTTTTACCGCTTTGATATTGCTTGAACTGTATATAAACTGTTACGAAACCCTCATCTCTCTAAGTCTTCTAAATCATCTGGGAAGCGTGCACTTCGTGTGGCTTCTTTTCTGTTAGAGTCATATCCCAATTTTAGAACGAGGTTCAGATAAGTTGCAAAGCCGGTGAAGCTTCTGTATTCCTGGTACGCTGCCCCTCCCCCCCCCTCCCGGCTCGAGTTGTCCGCTCGGGTAAGCCTGGTCTAGAACACAACCACAGGTTTAAACCTAGAATAATATAGCCTCATGCCATATCCCTAGTAGGAACGTTTGTTTGCATCACGTGCATTTGACTTAGGGGACTCAACATAGGGGTTGGGTCCGTCTAGGACAGGTGTACCCAAAAATAAAAGATCATCCTGATGCATCCTATGTGCTACGTGTTGCAATCTTCAAGGGTAAAAGGGGTCATTTGGCGGACCAATGAGGGTTGAGGGTAAATGAGAAAGAAATGAGGGTGAAGTATAAAAATGAAGCAAGCAGGGCCTAGTTGTATTTTTCTTTCACAATTTTTTCCAAGAAAGAGACCAAAAATTAAGTGAAAATGAAAAATCCAAAAAGATTTTGCACTTTCTCATCATTTTTCAAAAAAAAAAAAAAAGACAAAAGCATGTTTTCTCCAAATCAATTGTTTTTTTTTTAATTCTCGCACGTATCCAATTTTCCCGAACTACGCATACCTGATTCTCGTCTTTCGGGGCGGGATACGTAAGCAGCCCACATAGGGTCCGGTCTTCCTAGTGAGTCTTAGGTTCTTGGTTTCGCGGAGTCTTAGCGAAATCTTGCATGTCTAGCCACTTTTGGCCACGTCGGCCATTCTTGCAAAAATGGGGTCATTTGGCAAAAGTGGTTCAATGACCCATGTCTTAGAATCTTGAGTCCACAACTAGGTGTCATATTACTTTAAGCTCCGTCCTTTTTTAAGTTTGCATCTTTAGCCACTTCTGGCCACATCGGTCATTCTTGCAAAATAGGTCATTTTGCAAATTAATTTTGGGCCATGGTTATTGGGAGTTTGAATCCACATAAGCTTTAGTGAGGTGTTTCCATGAGGTCACATTTGATGAGTTTGCGCTAATAAGCCACGTAGGTTAATTTTTTTTTTCAAAAATAGCCACAATCGTGTCTTGCATGTGACCAATAGACAATCGTGTCTTGCATGTGACCAATAGGGAGCATTATTGTCTCACATAGTATTCTAAGTCTTCAAATCTATTTGGTATTATTTTTCTCATACAGGTGTGGATCTACTTACTAGTGCTTGAGCAAGATAGACGCCCCAGGACCATCCAGTCAGGATCACTGCATTCTGGAGTTGCTTAAGGAGATTTTTTTTTTATGTTTTGAGTTTGTTTTCCTTTTTATGTCATCTTTTACCTTCTAGTTTTTTATAGTAATATCGAGTCTTTTAGGTGATATTAGAGTCTGTCATAGTCTAGTTAAGTTTGTTGAGTCTTTTGTTATTGTACTTCCTATTTTATATTTGAAAAAATGTGTTATAAATCAAAAATCTAAAAAAAAAAGATTTTGCATTTTTATATTTTCGTTAGAAGTTTTCTTTAGAATACTAATTCTAGAAAATTAAAAAAAAAATCTTTTGAGCTGGTTTTCCTTTAGGAAATTAATATCTAGAACTCAAAATAAAAAAGTTGCTTTTAGATTTCCTTTAGTATATTGAGGCTAAAAATTCAAACAAAAAAAAAAAGAATTTTCTTTTGATACCTCTTTAGAAGTTTTCTTTAAGATATTAATTCCAAAAATCTAAGAAGATTTTCTTTTTGAGGTTCTTCTTTGAAAAATTAATAAAAAATAAAAAATAAATATTCTTTTTACTTTCACTAGAACTTTAGGACATTATATATAGAAGAAAAAAAAATACTTTATCTTTTGTTTATCTTTAGAGTTTCTCCTTAGGAAATCAAAAACTGAAATCCAAAAATATTTTTTATCTTTTTCATTTCTCGTTTCGAAATCTTTCTTCAGGATATCAAATGAAAATTCAAAATATTTTTCTTTGGTTTATTCTTTAGATTTCCTTCCTAAAAAAAAAGAATCAAAAAATATTTTTCTCTTCTAGGGTTTTTTCCTTAATAATTTCTCATAGAGTATCTGTTTCAAAAAAAGAAAAAAAAATAAGCTCATTTAAGATAGAGTTTAGAATAGATTATAGAACATTAAGTCTAAAAAAAAAGAGATCTTCTTTTTTCTCGTCAGAGTAGTCATTAAGGTATAAAAAAAAGAGAATGTTAGTTTGTTTAGTTTATTCTCGATTTTTCATAACTACGCTTGATCTAATTCATGAGGGACATGATACGTAGGCAACCTACATAGGGTTCGATCGAATCATCATTTAAAAAAAAGAGAAAAAAGAGAGAATGAAGTTGTGGGATGTGAGAAATGAGAGGAAAGAAAAGAGCGATAATCAGAAAGAAAAGAGGGGGAATGAAATGAAAAACCAAGCGGTGCTAGAAAGGAAAATGAAGAGGAAACGGGGCAACAAGAGTGAAATTGGGATGATGCCATATGACCTTCGTACCCTCGAAGTCATTTTAGAACCAATAACTGTGACTAGGTGCATTGCACATAATGTGAGATTATCTTATGTTAAATGCCCCAACGCTAACGTGATGACTTCATTTTGTTCCTCTTTGTTATCTTCATTATAGCAGAAGGGTGGTTAGTTTGTGGTTCTTAAACTGGTAACTCTTCCCTACAACATAAAGTTGAAAGGCAATGGCAGGTGACAACAGAATTGAGTTGGTTGATAATGGTGCCCAAAAGCAATTAGATAAACAGGACAATGGGTTGGTTGAAGAGGTAAGGATGTTAAGACAACAAATGGTGGATATATATCAGGCTTGGATGATTGGGAAGGCATCACAGCTTTCCCAACCTCCCTAGTAGCTCCATCACTCGTCCTCCAACTAGCTTTCCCAAAAATTGCCCTCCTGTCATATCCATTATCCCCACGATCACAACTTCTCAACAATCTTTCCTTCATAGATCAAACAATGAACACCCACTCAAAACTCATGATGCCCAATACTACCCCCCAGAGTTGTCCCACCAGGTCCCTGACTCATACAGTCATAGCCCTCGGGATGAGCTTCATTTTGAAAATGAAAAGTTCACAAGGAAAGAAGGGCGAGATGAGATATTCAGGAAGCTGAAAGGTATAGAACAGTCCTTAAAGAGCATGCAAGGGATGGGAAATCAGATTAACATGTCTTACAATGATTTGTGTGTCCTGATGTTCATCTGCCCGCGGGTTTTAAAATGCCAAAGTTTAACTTGTATGATGGGCGTAGAGATCCAGTAGCCCATCTGAGGTGTTACTACAGTGAAATGAGAAGTGTTGGCGGGAAAGATGATTTGTTGATGGCGTATTTTAGTGAGAGCTTGACTGGGGAAGCCTTGGAATGATATACTCGTCAAGATGTTAGAAGTGGCATGCATGGGATGACATGGCTCAAGATTTTGTTCGACACTTTCAGTATAATCTAGACATTATCCCAGACCGCTCCTCCCTATCTAAGATGGAAAAGAAACTGGAGGAAAGTTTTAGGGAGTTTGGGCTCAGATGGAGGGAACAAGCTGCTCGGGTTAGTCCCTCGATTGGTGAAGAAGAAATGGTTGAGTTTTTCCTACAAGCCCAGGGGCCTACCTACTTCAGTCATTTGATCCCGGCCTTGGGTAAACTCTTCAATGATGTGGTAAAGATAGGGGAGATGGTAGAAGAGGAAATCAAGTCACGCAAAATCATAAGTTATTCTGCATTGAAAGATACTACAGAAGACATTCAGAACATCTCAGTAAGTTTGGGTGGAAGAAAGAGAAATAGAAAAGATGTTGTTGAGCCCCGCCAATGACAGTATCCAATGGGCATTCCTGCTCAACGCTTTCAGCCTCAATATCGACCCCATGAATATCCTCGTACTCCAGATAATCCTCCCCAATACTACTTCTCTCCACAAAATTCCCAAAGTCATACCTCACCTTCCCAGTACTTTATCCACAATGCACTGCCATATGTTCCACATCCACAAGACCCGCAATGGCCTGCACCACCTCCACTAATGTCTTTCCCACCTTCTCAAGAATATCCACCACCTACCCGCAAGAGGTTCCAATCGAGGACGGAGTACAAAATGAAAAGGCAACAGGAAAAAGAAAAGACTTTCACTCCCATTGGAGAATCATATGCCAGTTTGTTCCAAAGGTTGAGGCAATTGGACATGTTGAAGCCGATTCAGATAAAAATGTCGAACCCTCTTCTAAAGAATTTTGATTATTCTCAAAGGTGCGCATATTGCTCTAATGCCCCGGGTCACAGCATAGAAAAGTGTTGGCATCTGAAAATAGCAGTTCAGAAGCTTATTGATGCAGGTGACATTGCCGTGCAAAATCCAGATGCAGTAGACACTAGCCAAAGTCCATTGCCTGTTCATAATGAGACGCATATGGTGGGTGTGATTTGTGTTGAAAAGGAATATGAGAACTCTTCTGAGATCCTCGGAGGGCCACTTGCCGCAAAGCTTTCAGCGCTATCAGTCTCGATTCCGGAAGTTGATCTGAAGAACGAGCTGGCAAAAGGGACCCAAACGCAATTTGCTAAGGTCAATGTGATGGAGACTTGTGAAGGTCCTAGTAATGTTGATGCGGAACTCAATGGCTAAGATGTTGAGCTATGTGATTGGAAAGATGCTCCTTTCGTGGCTAGCTGGGGAGGAGTCTTGGTGGTTTATTCTGTTGTCATTTATATCCTATCCTACAATTTTATAGGATATAAATATTAACAACGGGCTGAAAAATCATAGTCCATACCTGAGCCATAGAGAAGAATCTATCCATCCTTCTTATCTATTTTAGCATAGCAACTGCTACCACTACTACAAAAATAAAAAAATAAAAATAATAAAAATAATAAATAAAAAACAAAAAAAAATATATGTATTGCTTCAAAACAATTGAGATATAAAATAAATAATAAAATATTGGATAACTAATTTTGCCGTAAGGCAACAAAATTGACATTTGTTCAGGCCGATGTCTGAGTCGATTCATAGTTTAAAACACTATCCCTACAGAAATGTATGTCATCAGTTCTTTTATTCTTGTGTAATTTTATGATTGATTAATTCCCTTCCAACATTATTGGAGTTGCTTTAAAATTGAGCGAATCTAATTGCATTTATGTGACCATTCTCTTTCTGAGAATCATTTTAAAAGTATTCGACTCCAAACTACATACATCACACATCTTGATTCTCAAAACTGAAATGATAATTGAGCAAGAGATATAGATTTTTTTAAATTAATTAAAAGTATCAATTTACCCACACTAACTTTATACCCCCCCCCCCCCNATAACGGTTGATAGGTTAACTCTCTGTGGATTCGACCCTGGGCGTAATACTCGAGTTATATTTGCAACGTCCGCATAGTCCTTTTTATAAGGCATAGTTGGGCGTGATCACCCCCCCCCTCCCTTCCAAATTGTTCCCTCTGCTATAAAATTTTATATAATTATTTCATTTATATGGAAGTTTGACTTTAAATTTCCACTTAAATTAACTATATAAGAATTTAAATTTTTTTAATTTGTTTCTCGAAATTATGTCAATTATTTATATTTTTTCACTTTTATCTATTATAACGGTTTTAAATACATGTATCTTATTTATATAGTATGACATAGCTCATTGTAATTTTAAAAACTCTCTCTTCTCAAAGATCAAATAAGTCTTGTCATTATGTATACTACTACTGAAGTTATTTAATTACATATTTTTTCTTCTTTTTTTTGATTCCTTGTTCATGTTATTGCATTACCCATAACTTAGAGTTATTCACATTATTGTCCACAATCCCATTAATAGATGAATTTAGTTTTTTTTCTTGTAATAAAAATTATTCATTATTTTTTATTGTACTGCTCAAATTAATATTTAAATTTATCAATAGTATTTTTAAATATCATCTATAATTATCTTTATATTATATTTTAGCTGAATGGAGTACTGCATACTCGTTGTATGTTTTGATGATACCTCCATATTTATCTTTATAATGAGTTAAGATAGGGATATTGTTTTTATCTTTCAATTCAATTTTCTTTTTTAGTTAAAAACCTTATTAATTAATATAGGGTAGTTGGTTATATCAACTATTATTCTTTCTTTTCATTCAGATTCAAAATAATCTTATTTACTATCTTTTCATTTACATTACAAAAATTATCTTTTAATTTTAAATTAAATTAAATATTATTATAAATATTATCCTAAATTGTCAAATAACTTTTTAGTAGCATGCCACTACCCACTTAGCTTGGTCACAATGCACACTATTCCTTTAATAGAGAGAGATGCTCTATCACTAAAGCAAATTTTTTTTTATTAATCACCGTACAAGTTGATGCTTCAATTTATATTTTCTCTCTTCTGTTATCACTACTAATATAATATAAATCTTAATTTCATATTTGTTATACCTAAATTTATTGAATTAACGTTTTAGGACACACGGAGAAGTGAACACTACTGATCATCTAACGTAGTTACAAAATTTAAGTTTTGATCCAACAATTCGGTAATTATGATTATGGTTTTGAACCTAAATTTTTTAGTCTTATTTCTAGTAACAAACACGTTTTTGTTTTTTTTCTGTTGTTTTTGTTGTGAACTCAAATTTCAAGCAACTCGTTCTCATTATTTAGAACAATTCGCCTTACTCATTGACCCTCTCGTTTGAATTGAAATATTTATGTGTTGATTAGCTTTCTTTATTAATTAATCAATCAACTCAAATTTAACTTTCTTTCCATTCAGATTTAAAAGAATCTTATTTACTATCTTTCTATTTAAATAAAAGAATTATCCTATCTTTCAATTTAAATTAAATACTATAACAAATATTGTCCTAAATTGCCAAGTGGCTTTATATTAGCTTGCCACTTGGCTTAACCACAATTCAAACTTTCTTGCTTTAATATATATATAGATTGGCCTTTTTGCTAAATATATATTGTTTCAGTTGAACAACTATAACTTTAGGGGAAAAGTATGCTTTTCAAATTTAATGGCACTATTCCTACTTTATTTGTATGGACGAAAATTGACACTAATTCTACGATTAAATACCCGCAGGATTTGTAGACTTTCCATTCTTCATGGACCATTTAATCTCAATTGCCATGAACTTAAATCTGATAACGAGCAGATTTTTGTCCGTTAAGCTTTTCTTTGGTCATCCTACTCTGACTTCAATTTTCTGATATTGATGTTTGTTTAGATTTTCCATTACTCTTTTACATGTTAAAATTTAATAGGATATATGTAATCATGTAATTTGACTTTACTTTTTATCTTTAAGGAAAGATTATCCTCTTAGTTAGTTGTTCGATAAAATGCTACCTTCATCGAAACTTGATAGAAACTTTCTAGAAGTTTGATGGGTCATTTTATTGTCATAAATTAGCATGTTTTAAAAGACTTAATCATGTGAAGTCTTCTTATACACATTTTGATACCTCTTTTTAGTGTTCGTGGGACATAGGTGTCTGTTGTTTTTTGTTGTTCGCAAAAACCAAAACTCACACATTCTTTTTGGGTTATTATGAGTTGTCGCTATATTAGTTTTTTCAATCAGCAGGAGGAAAGTCTCAAGACTTGAATCTTGGTGAATGCATCATTGCTTTTACAGTTGATGTGTGAAAAATTCTTGATTGCATTCTTTTTCTTTCCCAAATATGAATTGTTTTATTCTCTTAGTAACAAATTTGTGTTGCTGATATTTGCACTGCACATCTATGGCAAATGGCTACATCGTATCAATTAAATATGTTGTGTGGACATTTAATAGTGCTCTCCATGGTATTTTGCATAGAAATTTCCATGGAATTTAGCTATATCAATTTTTTGTGTATTTTAAAGATCGTTGCTTGTTTTGTCGAGGGGGTTTTGACCTTATACATATTTGAGACCCATCATGGAAGAACAACATTAGTTAAAAATGTAAGTCATGAAATCAAGCTACACATTTTCACTTTACTTTTCGTATTTTATTAGGAAAATTCTTGAAATTTAAAAAAATGAAAAGGAGTCACCTGCTTCTTTTATAGAGCTAAACTGAATTTAAAGTGGTTAATCGTATTGCTTCTACAAGTGTAGTAGTGTGAGATAAATTCTCTATACATGTGAGGTTGCTTTGAAAAATTGCACCTCATGTAAGCGCTCTAGATCAAATTCTAACATAACCTAAATTTATTAGGATATCCTCCAATTTCTGTTTGACTTCATAATGCTGACTTGAAGTATTGTGATATAGTACTCTTGAGTATCAACGTTTCTTCTTATGAATCATACTTTGAGGAATACTTGTATATAGTATTGAAACATAGTGGAGTTTTGCATTATTTGGAACTCATTCCTCTGTTTGCTCAAGTGACTGCCTTGGGCTTTGTGACGACCCGACCCGTCGTCTCATGAGTTACCGCTCCGTTTCCCCCATTTTATGTTTCTTCATGTTTCATTATCAGTATTTGGTGTGTTAGAGTTGATTTAGATTGGTTTTGGTAGAAAATGAGACACTTAGTGTCTTTAAGGAAGGTTTGATTTGGAAAAGTCAACCGGATGTTGACTATTGAGTTAGAGGGCTCGGATGTGATTTCCAGTGATTCAGTTAGCTTCGGGGGATGATTTAACTTAGGAGCGTGATCGGAATTTATTTTGGAAGTCCGGTGTAGAATTAGGCTTGAATTGGCGAAGTTAGTATTTTGGCGAATTCCGGTTGATGGGTGAGATTTTGATCCGAGGGTCGGAATGGAATTCCGAGAGTTGTGGTAGCTTCGTTATGTGATTGGTGATGTGTGCGCAAAATTTCAGGTCATTCGGACATCGTTTGGTCGGGTTTTTGATCGGAAGTGCATTTCGAAAGTTTTTGAAGAACTTAGGCTCGAATTCGATGTAATTCAACTTAGGCTCGAATTCGATGTAATTCGATGGTTTTAGTGTTGTTTGAGGTGTTTTGATGATTGGAACAAGTTTGAATGAAATTTTAGGATGTTTTGGTATTTTTGGTTGAGGTCCCGGGGGCCTCGGGGTGATTTC